TATATATATATTAAAAAGCATTTTAAACCCTTCCCACCCTCTTGCAATATTCTAAACACAGTTTCTAAACTGAAAACGCTCTAAAAGACACAGAATGTGATGGTTTCATCTCCCTGCCTCCGGCTGCACACTCGGCCACGCCCACTTCTCTGCTCTGCACAGAGATCAGCTGAAGATTGTCCCACAGCTCTGGGTGCACAAAGGTGCAGCAGGTGCTAAATAATTAAAAATTTATACTAAATAAAATTTTATTCCGATCGTTAGGCTCATCCATCAATCAGCCAATTATGTGTCGTGTCCAATTTCATGTTAAAAAACTGCGATAGAGCGAATCTGCGAAAAACGAACCGCGAAGTAGAGTGGGACTGCTCTATATTACGTTTTCAAACAGCCTCGGATTTACAAAAGATAAAATAAGAAGAAGAATAGAAAGATGTCATCGCAATGACTCGCTTTTAGGAGGTTTTTGAAATTTTCAATCTGAAACAAACCTGACCTCAAATATAAGAATCTGGTTAAAAAACTGGATTCTAGTCAAATAAAACTCTTAACGTTCTGAATATTTAAAGTTTTCGCATGATTAGATTTTTAAAAACAAAAATGCAGCTATTAAACTTTTAACTGCCTAAATTATATCACATATAATAATTGAGTTATAGTTTTTAATAGTGAATAAATAAATTGTAGTCATTTCTCTCCATGCAGAGAGGGGGGATGTTGGTTCTGTTTGAAATGTTTATTAGTCATAATAACATTTTATTATAGATTTTTGTCAAAATCAAGGCTGAAATTTTTATTTTAATTTCAAATATTCAGAGTAATTTTAATTTAAGCATTGTGTTAGCTAATACAGAGTCAGGCTGTTTCATTCAGATCTATTTATAGTTTATATTTCTGAAATAATTGTGCCAGTATTACGCTTTCCTCTGTCAAAACTTGTGATTATTTAGCTGATCTTTAGCTGCTGTAATCAGCCTGCAGCTAACATGCTAATTCTTGTAGGTTGTTGTCAACGTGTGGTTCAGAACAGTCGGCTCCGTCTCCAGTTTCACACTAAAAGAGTAAAAACTGTAAGACTTGGTGGGTTTGGTACCGTGACTCTTTAACACCATGAAAAACTTCAGAACCGGCCCGGTTCTAATCTGTAGTATTTACAGTTTTTACATCACCAAGATGAATAAAACGTCTTCTTTTATGAAAACTTGAAACAAAACAGGTCAGGAGTTACTCTGGTTTGTGTTTTGGAGTGATTTAAATTTTCAGGATTGTTTACAAAATTTATTATAAAAAATACTTTCTAAATAAAAAGTCAAACAAATCCATAAAAACATTAATAGATAATAAAACCTCATCACTGTACAAACAGTCCAGTTTAAAATGTTTACAATATTATGTAAAAATAAATGTTTCAAATCTACAGAAATCTAAAATATTGAGTCTGAAATTTCAGAATAAAATAAAATGACTAAAAATATTAAATGATTTTACTGAAACAAAATATGTTTTTAAAAACTTTAGTTAAGATTATTAGGTTTTAGTTCTTTGGTTTCGTTGGGAATTTAAAATATAAAACTAATAATAAATGATTAAAGGTTCCCTAAAGAGGCATACATCCTTCAGAGATAATAATAATATTAATAATAATAATAATAAATATTGTTGCGATTCTTCTTTCGTGAGTTTTCGTTGAGCAGAAAAGAAGAAGCAGGTTTGTGTCGTTAACTTCCTGTTTCATGTTGCGGCCGATGTTGGCGTGTTTTAAAAATCATCTGTTGCTGAGCAGTTTCCTCCAAATGAAACTGATTACGACCTAAAAACTAAAACTCAGGTTCAGTCCCAACACGGTCTGGGGCGAGGTGGCGCAGAGGGTAGAGAGAGTGGGCCTGTGATGATCGCTGGTTCAACTCCCCGCCCGGACCAACATCATCAAAATGTGGGTGGAAAAGGTGAAAGACCCACACCTGCCTCCACCCTCATT